ATAGAGTAAATGTGTGTGTGTGTTTGAAGCGCGTGTACCTTCACAGGCAGATGCTTCAGTGCTCAGCTGGTGTCCCGGAGGACAGTCACACTCATAACTGCCCTCAGTGTTCAGACACTCGCCTCCACGACACAGCATAGGGGTCCCGCTCACACTCGTCCACGTCTGCAGGAGAGAGAGAGAGAGAGAGAGGAAAGTGAGGGTGAGAGAGAGACTTTTTTTAACTTTTAATTTTACTAATTTAATAAATAAAAAAAAGAATTCCAATTTAAATTCCAATTAAATACCAGACTCCCTGATTTACTATAGTTCACAGTAAAGAGAGTGAGCGAGCGAGCGAGAGAGAGACACTGTGACTGTATGGAGGCTGCTGATTGGTCAGGCCTCTGCTGTCTCACCCATGCAGTTCTTCATCATCATGAAGCCGCTCTCGTAGCCGTCGAAACACTCGCACTCGAAGCTGCCCGGCGTGTTGACGCAGAGCCGCCTGTCCACACAGGTCCGGGGAGATGGTGCACTCGTCGATATCTGCCGGACGCAGGGAACAGTGTGAGCCACGTGTGTGTGTGTGATTCAGATGTGTGTGTGTTTATGGAGATGTGCACCTGTGCAGTTCCTCTCCTCCATGGTGAGGGCGAAGCCACTGTCACAGCGACACTTGAAGCTCCCGATGGTGTTTCGGCACGTGCCGTGAGTGCACAGGCCTCTGAACACCTTACACTCGTTCACATCTGCAGGGGGAAACAGGCTTTAGGACGGTCCCGCAAACCCATGGCTTTATTAAAGAGACTCTTTCATTTAGAAGCTGCCATTAGTTACACTTCTCCCAGTCGTAGTCATATGAGTGCAACGACTTTCTATTTCTAAAGTCTTTAATTATTACATCGTTATCACGCTCAAAAATATGGGCAATATTAACTCTTACGGTCTGATTTGTTAGTGTCAGTGTGATTGTAACAGACAAAACTGCAGGAAAGTGCAGAAAATGGTCAATAATTTGGTTACACTTTATTTTAAGGTGTAATTATATAATTAAAAAGTACTGTGTAATAATAATTATTTACTACATTTAGGGTTAGGATTGGATTTAGATGTAATTATGCATAAATTATAGTTGTACATGTAACTATACAATATTACCAATATATATATTTTATATTATAGACACGTTTTAATAGATCAATTTATATTTAAACGGTGGTAATCCTGCTACAACTTCTAATAAATTAATACTATTTATTATATATGGTATATTTATTTTAATACTATTTCTGTTAACTTATAAACTGTAACTTAGGGTATAACTTAACTAATAAAAGAAACTAATAATACTAATGAAATAAATGAAGATTGATATTTCATTATACGTTTTAATAAATTAAGCTAAAGTGTCAAATGTGTTTTTTTTTTAAATATAGTCATCTTTAATAAAATTATTTATTATGCTGTTGTTACCAATAAATCTATATTTTTATATAATTTATAAAAAAATTTTCATTTATTTAAGAAACATTTTTGAAAGTTTTTAGGTAAAAAATATATTAAAAATGTAAAAATTATATATTTTATTATTTTATTTTTATAAATAAAAATGTATTATATAAAGCCAATATAGATAACGCATAATAATAATAAATAAGCGTATTCCCAAACTTCAGACAAACAAAATTGTGGTTCATTGGTTGCAGTTGAAAAAAATTAAACAAGAAAAATATTTGTATATATAATAACACTTATTTTAGAAATAATCATATCATTTTATAATTAAAAAATATATAAAATTAATATAATTTTATATGATAAATTACATAATTTGTCATGTTTTTATAGCAGTAAAATATAAATAGATAATGTCAGCCATAATATCGGTTTTTGTTTTTCAAAATTATCTGCTAAAACGATGTTTTCAAATGTTGATGTATAATATCGGCAATATCTAAAACATTTCTCGTCATCAATATGGGTCAATGTTTCTATATTGATTGATTGATATATTTTATTTATTTTTTCTATATTTATTTATTGATATATTTCTATATTGAGTTGATCTCTATGAATAAACGACCTTTATAGAAGGGTCTCCCAGTCAGGATGTCTCCTCGGTTGGCGATCCCGGGTCCACGAGGGCACAGGCTTTTATATTCGGGAGTGTTTGGTTTGGGACACGCCTCGCAGTCGACGCCCCACGCCGCTCCACCGTACAACAGCACATATCCGCCCGGTAACGGCCCGCTAGCGGCTCCACACACTCGTCCTCGTCCCACTTCAATGTAACACTGCTCGCTTCGGATGTCTGCGGGACACACACACCTTTTTACATCACGGCTGTGGATCGAGGGAAAGTTTGACTTAGTAAAGCCGGGTTCACACTGAGACAAATTTATGCAAATTCTAAAAGAATCCTCTGATCCTATTGGCTAAAATGTCCACCGACAGCGGAGAGTCACACAAAGGACTATTATGAATCGATTATGATTACGATTATGATTTTTATACTTGTTTAAATAAGTCTTGAATGCATGTTCAGTTCACAGACCAAC